GGCCGCTGGCCTCCGGCCCCCCCTGGCCCGGCCCCCCCCCCCCTCATTGGCGCGGCTCACCGCCTGGCTCCGCCCCCCGCGGTGTGATGAGGTTGCGCGGCCTCAGGGTCCCTCCCCCCCAGTGCAACAGCAGGTGGCTGAGCTCCGTCCCGCCCGGCGTCGGGGTCCCCAGGAGGACGCCCCCGCTGCGGTGGCGGTGCCTGGGCCCCGGTGCAGCGCGTGGAGTCGCGCCTGCGGGCTTTGGAAATATCTGAAGGCCGTGGTGCGGTGGGGGATGTTTGCGGGTTGGGGGGCCGCGGATGGTTCTGGACGGACTCGCGGGTTTGGCTGGGAACAGGTCAGATGTCGTGAAAAGCCTGCGGGCCGGGTTGGGCCCACGCGTGGGCGGAGCCAGCGCCGCTCGTTGGGCCTCGGGTGCTGAAGGCCGAGCACCACCGGTGTAGGGGAGAAGAAGGAGAGCGTTAGAGACACAGGAGAAAGCGGCACTTAGAGTAGACAAGAGCCCAGTGGTCGACGCAGGTGCCCATCTTAGACCTCCCTGCTGACTGCTGTTGCTCCCAGAGGCAGGTGGGTGTCTTGTCCCTGGTAGGGACCAGAATTGCCAGCCTGGTCCAAAGAAAGATGGGTCAAAACTGGTACATTTCCAGAAAAAGTCTGGGTTAAAAAAATAATCATTTTCTGATGGAAACCATTTGGACGCAAGTGCCCAGGCCATTCTCATCAGGACTGTGCCATTATTCCCCATTATTGGTTTCCCATTAGTCCATGTTACTCCAGTCATGCGAGCACCAGCGGCGGGAGTCTCTATGATGCCCCTTTTCACATCCCCACGCTACCCCCACTTGCATCATTACAACCCGGCTACGCTTCATCAGGTAACGACAACACGAGGCAGAATGGAGAGCAATCGCGCAGCCATGCAACATCAACCAGTGTCCTGTGCTATAATCACCACATACCCCAAACCCACGCTGAAATTTTATTTCTTCCTCAACCCCTCAACTCAGACAACAAAGAAAACCAAAGCAAACAAACAAAAAAAGAGCTCCTGCTGTCTGTGTATGCTTCAGAACAGGAATATGTTCCAGGGCCTGTGAAGAGCATAGCTGGTGGAGAAGACTGAGACCGAATCTGAACCATAAGCTTAGACCAGTGCCGGATTATGACATGCTGAGTCCCTAAGCTATGTCCATCTTAAGAGGCCCCATGTGATAAAAATAATTTCATGAAAATCTATGTTTGTGGATTAAGATGAATTATTATTTCTGGACAAATTTATGAACTCAGTATGAATAACTGGAGCCATATAGAAGTATATTTTTGTCATATTACAACAGAAATGTCCTTTTTTTTTCTTGTTTAGATGCCCCTCATATTGTGAGGCCCTATGCCTAAATCCAGCACTAGTTTAGACAACAGAAAGGCATGTCCTCCATAATACCTATTACCCCATTTCTGATTTGCTTGCCTAGAAGGGGTTCAAACCAAATTCGCATCCATGGTAACTTTCCTTGAAGTGCCCTGATATTGTAAATTCTCACCCTTCATACCCACTCTTCCATCCTCCATTATAGAAAGACATGCATTAAACTCAGTGGGCTCGGACCCTCTATGGTTTCAGGTGACAATCACTGCATAAATCAGTACATAGATGTATTAAACATATGCCTAAGTATTTTAGCAGTAACTGCCTGTTGAGCTGGGCAGAACAGAACACATTGTGGAACCATTCGTACCTTACGACTTACCTAAGGCTATATGCTGATAAAATTGAAGGGTCCTTTCATTTTCTCTGACAATGCAGACCCTTCAGTATTTTCAGTCCCAAAAGTAAAAAGTTGAGGTCAAACCCTAGGGACATAGACTGCAGAACAAGTCAATACAAGTAGCTTCAGAACAGTGCAACAAGCCCAGGAAGGATAACAAGCAGCCAGTGAGCAAGAACAATGGACATCACAAATTCACTGCTTGGCCTCATTACAAAGATTTTATTGTTTTCTACAAAGATTAAAATATGTAAAAAACGTTCACTACTTTCAGTCACAAAGCAACGCACCAGTAGAACTCAATTCTGGCCACAGACGGACACTGGGATTTATTATTACTGTGCAAGTTCTCCAACTTCCTTGTATGGACCACATTTTAGCAGAGACAGCACCTCATGGGCCTCCTACTTCCCATTTCTAATCACACGGACCCCATGCTCTTTGTGATTATATAACATCCCTGCAGTGGCGCACACATGAACAGCTTCTTGTATGAAAAAGAGAAAGGAATGTGTTTTAAGTCTCATTTAATGCAATTTGGCAGCTGGGGAAAAATAAAATGGCCAGCACCACGTGACCCACCAGTTTCTAAAGGAACAACTGGCAAGCCTTCCACAGGCCATGGTTTGAGAACCAGTAGTCTAATTATATAATTTTAGGATTAGGGGCCATTATGACATAAGTCAAGGCACATAAGCTCTAAATGGCTCAGTTTCTCCATTTGCAAAAAAAACAAAAAAACAAAAAAAGATAATAGCCACTACTTCATCTTTCAAATGGTAATAAATGAACATGGATTGTGAATGCCTTATTTTGAGGGAGAGATTTTATCATCTTATTCAAAAGCCATTTAGCTTCACATTTTACCAATGCACTTTAGGATAAGGAAAGTGAATGGCTAAAATGGGTTATTTGAAATACAAGGACCAAATAGGTTTGTTTGTGCTAATGGTCTGGAATATAAAGATTTTAATTGCTTTCTATTGAGATTTCCACATGGACATTACAGAAAAAAACAGTTTCAAAGAATTCTCGTAATAATTGGCAGACAGAGCTAAGACACATCAGAGGATTCAGGGCTAGGCACACAGTTGCACTGCTAATTGTAAGTGACTACAAAGATGTAAGACAGACTGTAGATCTGTTGTAAGGAAAGCTCCATTTTTATTTTTCTGAGCAAGGATTGCAGAAATGTGGCTAAAGTGCTTTCCTTTTGTTCGTTTGTTTTAAATGTATTGGTCTTGTTCCATTTAATCTGAGTGCCAGCAAGGATGAGGAAGAAATTACCCGTAGTTCTGATTCACACGATCTAAGATCCTTCACTGTCAGGTCAACAAGCTGTAATGGGCAACCCGGGGAGGAGGAACTGGCTGACCTCATTCAGGGCTAGAGATGCCTTCGCACAGGACGCCAATGGTAGGGAGTTTATGTCCTAAAGCAATTCTGAGGGTAGAGTCTGTCTTACAGATGTTCTTTCTGCAACAGGCACATGAATAAAAAATAAAAATAAAAACCAATTTCACCTTCTGCCTCTTCTGGTACTCCCACTGTACTCCACACTGGTGAGACCGCAGCTGGAGTACTGTGTCCAGTTCTGGGCACTGCACTTCAACAAGGACATGGAAAAACTTGAGAGATTCCAGAGAAGAGCCATCTGCGTGATCAGGGACTTGCAAGACAAGCCATACGAGGAGAGGCTGAGGGACCTGGGCCTCTCCAGCCTACAGAAGAGAAGGCAGAGAGGGGACTTGGTAGCAGCTTACTGCTACATCAAAGGAGTGCATCAAGGGCTTGGTGAATAACTGGTCACCAGGACACCCCTGGGGAAGACCAGGAGCAATGGATACAAACTCCTGGAAGGTCGCTTCAGGCTCAATTTGAGGAAAAACTCCTTCATAGTCAGGGTGTCCAGACTGGGGAATAAACTCCCTCCAGAAGTGTGTAGTCACCTACCCTGGAAATCTTCAAAAGGAGACTGGACAGTCCCCTCGCTGGGGTCACTTGACCCCAGTTGTCTTTTCCTGCCTAGTACAAGGGGCTGGACCTGATGATCTACAAGGTCCCTTCCAGCCCCTTACAATCTATGAATCAATCTATGAACCTACTGGGCTTTCAGACCAAGTACCTTTGTCAGCAAAAAGCTGGACAGTGTGTGGAAGTAGCAGCAGTGAGCATACAAAACACCACAGAGACGTCCTTTGACAGCACAGATGGAATCAGTCCAAACTGTTTCAATCTACTTGACAAATCAAATGCTGAAAACTATTAAATAAGACTTGAAATGATAGAATATCAACATAGCAGCTTGGGGCACCTCAAATAGGTACACAGGCAGGGAACTATAGGGACTATGCCTCCCTAGCATTCATTGGTTAGAGAGAACCGAGCCCAAAAAATTTTGGAAAGAGGGCTTGGTTGAAGGGAAAAAAAGCACTGCTGCTTTAAAGTCACCTTACAGAAGTAATAATAGGCATACAGGACAATAGATTATCCAACACCCTAAGAAGGATAAATCGAGCGTAGTGGTTAATGCAAGGCATTTTGTCCATGATAGGGGAGTTTCAGTACATTATGCTGCTTAAGAGGGGCAGGACTCTGATCTCTGAGATGTTTTGCCTCTTTTATATTACTTCGGTGATTTTTGATGAAGCCAAAAATCCGGTATCAAGCCCCAACAGATTACATTTTAGTGGCTTTCTCCATGTAAAAGGCACTTCCTTCATCCTCACCAAAACAAACCCACTGCTAGGGTGTACTAAGAAATAGAAGATGTGGTAATTCATCCTTGCAGAGAAAAGAAACGGTTTCACAAACAACTGGAGCAAACTGCAAATGCTATTTTTCTCTATAGTAATCCTGCTGACAACTATTCTTATTAGAATTTG